AAGTCATCTCCCTTCTGTTCGGCAGAGTCAGAAGTAAATCAAAACGTATGATATAAAGGCATATTAGTAGGTGATGCAAACGCAAACTCATCCTCTCTTCTGTTTACACGGTCAGAAGTAATCAAAACCGTGCCCGCAGTTATAGTATTCTATCATTACTAAGACCAGCACTCTAACCGCGGCAGAAAAAAAAAGAGTGTGCTCACATACCCAATGTAGGGTCATGTAACTTCCGAAGTGATCATCTGACTCTGGAAAATCTGGCCTGTCAAACATCTCTTTATTGTGTCCACGCAATTATCTTTCACTCTAAGAATTTCAAAATTTGTTTTAATCTTTCATTAAGATCGTGTTTTTTACAATGTAATTTTACAATGAAAAGTTTTTTCATGATATAATTTGTTTTGTTTCGAACCAAAATTAGTAGTTAACACATGATCATGGAATAAAGTTTTGGCTTCGTCGCTCCATTAACTTTAAGATGCAGGACGGTATAACGAAATCGTGTGCATCGATTGATTTTTTCTGCGTTTTACTTCGAGACTTTAATACAAAATGTACACTTATGAAGGACAACGTAAATTGAATCAAGTAAGAAGCGAATAAACTTGATCGAAAATGGTTTTCATCAACTAGTTTAAGAATTTACCCAACTATTGACGCGTGGTATGAGCATAATGACATTAGATTCTAGCGTTTGTCCATTGAGTAGAACTATCATTGGAATTTTTATTATTAGCAGAAACAATCAATTATTAATTGATCTTGACAAATGAAGTGTTTTTCCTGATAATAATTTGTCTATATTAACATGAACAGTAGTTAATTCTTACTGCATAAAATTAAAATACATGTAAATAGAAATGACAACCCTAATTATTTTTCTCTAGGAAGTAAATATCATTAATAAAATTTTTACCAACGACATATATACAACTATGATCATTTGTTTAAATGGATCTGGTACGACATCCCGAAAACCTTAATCCCGACAAGCCATAAACCCGACAAACGAAATCCCGAATGAGCAGCACACCGAAAGCACGAAATCCCGAATGAACAGCATCCCAAATGAACGAAATTCCCGAAAGGACAGCATACCGAATGAACGAAATCCCGAAAGACGGCATCCCGAATGAACGAAATCCCAAAAGGACGGCATCTCGAATGAACCGAATGCATGAAATCCAGAATGTACGGCATCCCGAATACACGAAATCACGCATTTACTAATTCTGATTGGATGCAAGTAATTCTATCGTTGATTGGTTGACTGCATATCGGGTTTTCTAGATTAACAAATAAAAATGCATAAATTTTTGATAAAACAAATCCAACACAAAAAAATTAAAATGCGAATAATGTGAAATATACGGAAAACGAATGCTTAAATTTGGCTTGAAGCACTCATCTAAAATGTCGGGGAGGTAATTTTACATATAATCTTATCCTCTAAGCTTAACCCTAACCCCAACGCTAAAATTAACCTTTAATAGCCTCAACCAATCAGAAACCTGGGGGATTAGTAAATGCGTGATTTCGTGCATTCGGTATATTGTTTATTCGGGATGCTGTCCTTTCTGGATTTCGTTCGAGATTTCGTCCTTTCAGTATGCTGCTCATTCGGGATTTCGTGCCTTCGGCATGCTGTTCATTCGGGATTTCGTGCTTTCGGTATGCTGTTCATTCGGGATTTCGGTTTGTTGGTCTTATGTATTGTCGGGATTGTGGTTGTCGGGATGCTGAACGTCACCCCTCCTCTTTCGTACCCCTCTCGACTTATATTATTAAACGATATCGGCCCAGGAATTAGAAACTAACGAATGTCATTAAGTCTACTCACTCTCCCCAATCCATTGTTGCAGGAAAATTGTTCGATTACGCCTAATTATGCGAATCTTTATATGTTCTGATCTTACGTATATAGCGATAGATAATTTCGATTTAACAGTGGGAAAAATCATATCGGGTTTTTTGAGTTAATTTGCGTACATTCCATTTATTAAATCAGACACAGGACCATATTAATTGGCGTAAAAGAAAGGATGAGGCGTGAGAAAGACACGTCCAAAGTGAAAAATATAAAAAAAGGTATTATTTTTTCACATCGCTTCATATTTTTGCATTTCTGATGGAACCTACTAAATTTACTCCAGTTTATATTAATGCTGCTTCAATCATTCAACGAAAATAATTGTGTTAACAAAATTAACGGATGTTTTAACCACGTCGTCTGACAACAAAGAACGCTTAACTATTATTAATAAACTTTCGGCTAAGGTTAGTTTTTAAGTATTTTTTTTTAATTAATTTCACTAAGTGATGAGGTATAATTTTTGTATAAGGTAATGTTCCTGTAAGGTTCATTGTCTTGAGATAAATGAATTGAATGATTTCTGATAGAACTGGATCATTCCAATTTAGTTTAAGCTGGCACTACGTCTTTAATATTCAGTGCTACGAAGTCTAGTTTTAATAGATTGAATTATAGAAGATTTAGTTTTTTGCTGCTGTCGTTGTTGCTGCGGTTGCTGCTGACATTGCTGTTGTTGTTGTTGCGATTGCTGCTGTTGTTGCTGTTGATATTTGTAGTATTCTTTTAATTCAACTACAATTTTATATGAATTTAAAAACTGAGAGTAAAATTTTTGCATTAGTTTTTAAATATTATAATAGTTATCTTTTTAATACACGCGTGCTATCAGAATGCAAATTCTATATCACTTCCAGATTATGGTGAAAATTCGCAATGACCATTATACTCATAAATTATAGTATTTTGCCATATAAATTTTATTGCAAAATTAATTCAAGTTATATATTTTATGCATTTATCGTTATTTTCAAATATTGCTCTTTTATTATTATAAGAAATTGTCGATAGTTCTGGCCAAATGATTCCATGATCTGCACAATTTTGGCCAAAATTTTCACCATACGTAATCCGTTTTTCATCATGAAAATTTTTGATAGTATCAATGAAGAAAGCTGTACCAAGAGTTTACTACAAGGGATCTGTGAAATAATAATTTCGGTTTCCAAAAGGAAAAACATGACACCCAAGCAAGACAGCAGAATAAAATGGAATATTTGTTACAGATTAAAATATAAAAATCAAATATTACAAAGAACATGTACAATGCCACCTGTCTGCAAGAGTTTTATCGCTATGTTCATATCAGATCAAAAGGACATATAAACCAACCAACAATCGTAGAAATAGTAAATGCTTCTGAAGAACGAAAAAAAAGTTAGTATTGAAGCTTTTATTGCAGCTAATATATATTTAGAAAAATCGACCAATTACATTTGAGTACCGAGTTGCTTAGCGTTAGAGTATTAACAATGATGTATTTTAATAGTATAGAAGACGAAGAGTCTCAGAATGATACTTATCATAATCTCAATTAAAGCAATTGGCGGAATTTTTCCGTAAAAAGTGTCGATCATGTGATTTCGAATCCAAGTTTGAAATTATCCTCGTCGCGCCATTCTCTTAGTAAAGGCAAATTATAATAATATTAAAGATAATTATGGTTGTAGGAAAACGAATTAATTATAGAGTAGGATGTTTGAAATTAAAGTAGTAGTAAAATTTGAAATATTTTTCAGGGGTTGCTTTTTTATTTTAAGTTTAATAATGTCTGTGACTCTCGCAAGCGTCAGCCGTGGTTTCGGTTAATAACGTGTGTTAACTTGACTTCGTTGAATGAGTCGTGCCATTCTTTTCTAGTGTTTGACGTTAGCATATACAGTAACGATAATTAATATAATTGTATAAGATGTACACATTTAAAAAATCAAATTGTCAAAGCCTGAACTCCAGTATTTACACTTTCTTCGTATGCTTTCTAATTCCTATACAGTATACTTATTTTGTAATCTTCTTTAGAGAAACTTATAAGCTTAAGATTAATCAATACATATTTTCTGTGTAGTCTCTTACAATTCTCTAATTCTCTTGAAAGGATCAAACGAATTTAATTATTTTAAATTAATTAATTTACATGTATTTATATGTAACGTACTTCAGAAACATCCAAAACTCGTTTTCGCATACTATCATAAATTTCAGTAGCGGTAGTGATATTTGCAACGTCACTCAATTGATCAATTGTTTCTTGTTTTGTATGAATGTATTCAGTGTATTCAGTAAGGCATTAGTCTATAATAAATGCTAATAACATGTATTTTATTTTGCGTATATGAAACTATAATCGATACATTGAAAAAAAAGAAAAAAATTCTAAGATGAAAATATTAAAAAATATTAAAAAATGTCAAAACCTGACGTCCAGAGAAAAAAGACATTTTAAATTTTACTTTAAGATATAACGATAATAGCCATTCCCGATTTATAAATAATTCTATCAATTCTGAATTTTGATCTATTACCCACGTTTGTTTTTGTTTTTAAGGTCATAGTGGATTTCTCGATATTTAAATTCTTTATCATGACTTTGTTCCGTTACTTTTTTAATTTTTTTTAACGTTGAACCATTGATTTCCAGATTATACAATTGTTGTTCAAACTTACTAATGTCTTTTGGCAAAATTTTAGCCAAAGAGTTGTCTTTTTTTTCAATTGCCTGTTTAATGATTTCTATTTTTCGCAAGTAAGTCTCTTTCGTTTTTTTAAGTCTTTCGAGAATTTTGTTATTATAATTTTTAGGATCTTCGCCTCTCTTTCGTCCTTCCTCGCGTATAAAAAGATCCAAATAATCTGCATACGCGTCATTAAATGGAGTTATTGCATTTTGCCGCAAAAATTGAGCAAACTTTAGATTAATCTCTTCTATTGTCTCTTTTTCTTTTTCCAGCTGTTTACTTCTTGCTTCATATATTTTTAAAATTGTTATTTTTCTTTCTTGTTCATTTTGGTTTTTGGAAATTTGTTCTATTTTTGGATCAAGGACATCTTTGATTACTTGCTTATTCTCATAGTTAACATACGCATGTTTACTCCGGTGACACTCGCATATTTTGCAAGTACCTGAGAAATAATTTATAGCTGAACAGAGTAACAAAAATTTACTGCCTATCGAGTTTTGTGTAGCAAATGGCAAAAAACAGTGTGGATGACAATGTGTTTTGCATTCATTACATATAGTGCTCGGATGTGACAATGCTATTGGTTCAAGATCCACTTGAGGAATGTATAATTTGCCTTCGAGTTGCTCCATGGTTTTGTTAGAGTTTTCTATTTCCGTTTGTTTATCTTCGATCATTTTAATATTTATCTCAATGAGTTGTCCAATTTCAGCAAGTGGTTTGGAAAGGAGCAATACTATTTCTCGAGAATTGTTTAATGTTAAAGTATCTTTAATGCTGTGATGTGGGCGCGTTACCAAATATTCGACTAGTCTTTCTGACTCTTTTACAGAGGTTTTCCAGCTTTCTGAAAAACTTTTTTCTTCATCCTCGGTAAACGCGACGTTTTGTTTAAGAGCCGCTAAAAATTTAAAAGATTCGCTATCAAAACAGTACATCGTGTCACGGACAGCTTCTATTTCAACACCAAATTGTTCTTGGATATCTCTCAGATGTTTTTTAAGTGATGGTAAAGTATCGCCTGGGCGATATAATGTTCCTCTAGCATTAGTGAAACAAAACACTATATTATCCTTTGCACTTTTATGAAGATGAGATAATAATTCTTGAATACAAAATCTGAATAATACGCTTGTACGAGATTCATTTGGCTTGAGAAGAACACATATTCCATTCAAATGATTGTGATAACTGATATATCTTAAAATATTCTCGAAATTCTTTTTGTCTTGATCTAATCCTCGAGTATCTCCTATTCCAGGAGTATCAATCAGTCTTATCGTTATATTTCTATGATTACCAGATTGATGAAATACATAGCTTTTGCATTCTTGAGTAGCTGATGCACCTACGACATCAAATTTTTCATTTTCATCTTCTTCACCTATTTTAATTTCTTTTGTTTCGTAATTCTTATCCGTTATATTAAATTTTGATGAAATTAGCGCGACTGTTTCACTTTTTTTTGCATCTTCTAATGAATCATATTTGAGATAATTCGCAAATGCATTTATAAATGTAGATTTTCCAACACCAGTTTCTCCAAGTAATAATATGTTAATTTCTTTCGGTGGCTTTGGTAATAAATCGTGAATTAATCGTTCGTCGTATTCCATAAAACCTTCAGTATGACGAGGGCTGTTGCATTTGAATTTACAATCCGTAATATTACTTTCACCACATTTACAATAAAAATGTCGATTAAAATTATATTCTACGTTCTGTTCACAATTATAGCATTTCCAAATGCAAGTATTCTTAGAGCAATTCAACCCAGGACAAGGTAAAGATAATGTTTCGCCAGAATTATATGATCTGAGAATTGGTGCTGGCTCAAATTTAACAAGATTTGAGTTAAATAAATCTTTTTTGTCATTATAATAATCATCACTGCATACTCTTCCATTATTATAATGATGAATTACTGGTCTTTCTATATCTTTGAATAATTTCAGATTTGCCATGATAAATTTGCTTTGTTTCTCGATAGTTGACAAGTCTCTAAACATATTATATATTGGGGATGTTTTGCCGTCAATAAAATTATCATCGTCATCAAAAAATAATATAAATATTTGATCATCTTGATATTTAAATAAGATATTATTAATGGTGGACTTTTTACCAAGATACCGTATTTCATTAGCCTTTAGAGCAGATATAAACTCAATCTTTGTGTATATTAATCGATGATTGTCGATGAACTCGATAATTGATTGCTTTGATAAGGCACCATTTTCGAATTGTTTTAATTTACTCTCAAGTTTATCGATTCCTTCCTTACCACTACGTACTTTGACAAGAGATTCTGCCAATTCACGTCTAAATTTCGCTTCTTCTGTGCTAACTTTAGTTAAATATGTATTGATTTCGTTGAGAATTATTTCTGGTAAAAAATCCGAAATTGACTTTGCACTCTCATGTAAATCATTAAGTGATTGTTTTGATTTTATCAGACTATCGAATAGTTGTTCTACTCTTATAATAGTTTCTTCATTTAAATTCGTTATGATATTATTGATTGCGATTCGATGATTGAGAATTTTTGCCAATTCTGACAAGGGAAGAAGAGTGTATTCAACCGGTACTCCTTTTCCGTTATTATATTCTTTAGTGCATTGAGGGAGTGAAGCTACAATTTTTTTTGCTTCCTCAAAGGACTGGGGAAGTGCTTTCTCATTAGGGACAATATCACCAACAATATTTATCGAAAACTTATTCATAAAGTCAGCATCACTCTTTCTAATGTGTAAATGTCCGCCTCCCGATGGCTTAATAAGATTTGGTAAATTAGCCTTTAAACTTCCTTCGATTTGAGACTTATTTTCTTCATTAGTGTCATTATATTCGAACGATGCCATGATATTTGCTCCCCATTTTATGCCTATCACAACGTGTGTAGCATCTGGATTATTTAACGCGTCAATCGAAATGCTTGCTTTAACATCCTCCCGATAAATATCCCATGTTTCAGAGACCAAAGTTACTTTGTATATTAGAGTACCTTTGACAGTCTTTGAACTTTTTTTTATATTGCTTAGATATTTGCCCGATGCTTCCGATGAAACCAATCCCGCGAGAAAGCTTAGTTTTAATTCAGCTTCTATATTTAACTTGCTGAATTTTTCGTTATAAGAGTCTTCATACGAGTATGATAGCTCAGAATGCGGACTATCCACCTTATTAGTGTGCGTTTCTGTCTGTAGAAGCGTAGTTCCACAGAAAGAATCTCTCGCCGAATTGTATAACGCCCCGATCTCTGCTGTTCTTCCAAGAGCTTTTCGTTGTATACTTCTTTCCTCCATAATTTAATAGAAATAGTATGACGGAGGTTTATTAATTAAAAAAATTATTCTCGAATCCTGATGAGTGTACTTGATGATATAATTCCAATTTGAACTTACAGTGTCCAAATTTTCAACCACCCTTCGAGAACCTCTTAATTTATAGAATAATTTTTATCGTAATTAACTAACATACTCGAAAATAAACGTGCTGTATAAACCTTTTGTGGTAAAAAAACAATGACGGAAATCAAATAATGAACTCCATTATGGAGAAAAGTTAGTAAGTTATAAATGGGTTGAGTGCAATAGAAATGGCGTAAATTGTATTATAAATACGATTTACACCGTTTCTATCCCAAATATCTTTTTTTAAAACATAATGAAATGACATAATAATAAAGCATTACTAAAATCTGTGCCCACCCGCAGCAAAATTAAAGGTTAGGGTTCTCCCTGATGTTTTTGATTAGTGCTCCAAGTTAGATTTAGGCATCTATTTCCCGTATTTTTTGTATTTTCGCATTTTTTATTTTCCGGTGTCGGATTGTTTTGCTGCTGATCAAAGATATACACATTATTATTGGTTTGTGTTACTGCGGGTGGGCATGGATTTTAAAAGTGCGACAACAACGTAACGATAAAACGTAATGATTGATAACACGATATCAATAAAAGTCATACACTCGGTGGACAAAAGTTTACAATCAGCAATGATCTACAAATGTAGACCACGAAAATTAGGGTAACTTCGA